ATATTTAAAACTCTTTCCTTTCTCTCAGGAGACTGGGGAGGCTCCGCCTCCCTTGCCTCTAGTGACTGCACATCCCTGCTATGTATGCTACTGACCTCCTGAACAAAAGGCAAGATAATAATTGCTCTACCCAGCTAACCACATTAAGTAATTACTCATTTACAAGCAAGATGATAAAAGAGGATTGTGTTTTAGATTCTTTTTTCCCCTTTTTACTTCATCTTAGATTCTTTTTCGGGTATCTGTATTTATGCCACAAAAAAGTAATAAACTTTGTTGAAAAAAGTAGAAGACTGTGGAGAGAGAAGTAGATAACTCTCCATTGTATTGGTCTGTTTTTCATTAAATGGGACAACAGAGCTGTATAATTTGTAACTACAGGAAGATAAATGCTATTGATGGTGAAGCCTTCATATATACAGAGAAAGAAACAAAGAGGAGTAATTGAATGACAAGCCAGTGTAATGGAAAAATAATGTGTGCTGACTCATATAGCAGCACCACTAAATTTACTCAAGAGTATCATACATACGTACGCATGCAGATGTATTGGTGAAATAAGAATGATTGCCACATGCTGGATCCATAAAGCAAGTCATTTTTAATAAAGCACAGAAGTTAAATTACTATTGAAATAACAAATACTTTATAAAGAAAAGTGATTCTCACATGGTTTTCTTTGGACTGCACTTGCATTGTGAAGTGCTGAACAATGTTTTATGTATTATGCCAGCTGGTAGAAAACCTTCTAAACTGCTTGACTCTTCCCATCTTCTCCTCCATTCTATTTTGTTTTCCCATTTCTTTCCATCCCTTCCTCTATAACTCCACTATAACGCCACTCTGTATTTTTCTTAATTTTCTTTGCTGTTTCAGTTGGAAGAAAGGAGGGGAATATGTGTAAATGTGTCCTTGTTGTAATAGGTGTTTGCACATTAGAAAATGGCTAGTACATGTGTGAGATACCAATTTATCTATGTGTATGCATATAGATGAGGTCAATGGATTTCTCAAATGGGTACTATATTTTACAGCAAATTAGCTTTAATCAACAAGTACAAACTCAACCATATAGTGTTTATTTGTTTGCCCTGTCCTATATGCAGAGGGATCACTTTATCAGGGAGTAAATAGCTCCAGGATGGTTTGAGTTGGAACTGGAAATTTAGGTTGAAAAAATGAGGAAGTTGGCAATTGAGCAAATGTTTGTGTATGTTTATACCTACATTGCTGTCTCCTATTCCCTTTGTTGGAGAATTATGTGAAAAACAAAAGGATTATCTAACTCGGGAGCAAGGTGTAGCTGTATGAAACAGCCCATCCTCTTTCTTTCCTCCAATAAACATCTCAGAAGATTACTGAACAAGTTTTATTCTTGGGGGAACCTTCTTAAAGATCATAATTTATTGGAATTTGAACCTGTCCCACAGTACTGTGGGAAATCATGGCGTCTGCCTTGTGTTCTGAGAATAATCTTATGTAAATAAGTATAAAAGAACAGGATAAAGTTTTTTGGTTGGGAAAAAATCATACTCCAGGAATTTATGACTTAAAAACTTGAACTTTCTTTGAAAGTTTCAGGTTTAACTATCCAGGTGTTAAGTAAGAGAAAAAGTCAGTTGTTTTGGAGGTCATTACATCTATATACACCAAAACACTTGGATTTTTAACAGTAGGGCAGTGGTGGGTTCCTAATGGTCCAGTCCGGTTTGACCGAACCGGTAGCGGTTTGGTGGCCTGGGTCGCTGCCTGCCACGCTCCTGATAGGTTCTTCTGGTGGTGCCTATGGAAGAGCCATCTTTTTCTTTGTTTCTGNCCAGTTCTTGATTTTGTTATTATTTTTTCCTTGGTACTTTCTGCTTCTCGTTGATTATAATTGCTCAAAATATATTAATTGGAACAAACTTGCATACAGCTACATTTCGGTATGTTTCTCTTCCCTCCTGCTTTTCCAAGTTCTGATTTATGGCAGTTGGTTAATTAAAATTTCCCACACAGGCAAGATTAGGTTATCAGTTGTCAGTAAGGAGATGGTGTTTTGTTCTTGATCTTTCTCCCTTGTTGCATTCCAGTTCTCATTAATTGGAGTAGCTTAAGATATGTTAGTTAAAAGACACTCAGACAAAGCAAATCTTCATGCTCCTAGACTCCTTTAAAAACACAAACTTTTCAAGTCCAAAACCAAATTTAAAGTTTTGTTTAAGTGAGTTGTGTTTAAGTGGGTTTGTCACTTCTCTTCTTTCTCCTTTCTGTCAAAATTATTTCAAGCAAATAGCACTCTTTGGGGCTAGTGATTCAACCCTCCATTTTCCCCTTCTTCTTCTTTTTTTTTTTTTTGCAAAAATCCCGATCTGTCCATCAATATTATTTATGCTCCCAAGGTTCTTTGCCTTTTCAAAATTCTGATTTTTAACTGTGGGTTAATAGATCTGACCAGGCTTTCATCTTGACTCTGCACACTCCTGTTCAGCTGCTTTGGCCTGGAGCCAGCTCTTGTGCAGCATGTTGCCATGCTGCCACCCCGGTTCCGATTCAGAGGGCAAATCTCTGACCTATGAGGAACCTGTTGCACTCCCTCTGGATCTGATGAGACACTGCCCCTTCTTCACCACCCCCCAGGGGGGGTCTGATCCAAAAACAGATCTCGGAGACAGTTTGTCAGGCAGGGTTCATGTGAGACTCTTCTGAGCTCACATCCCCCACGTCTGTCCAGCTGGAGAACTTCAGGTCGACTCAGAAGTCCAGATCCTGAAGATGAAACTCAAGCACTTTGGCCACCTAATGAGAA